TCATCATACCTCAAGTCTATTTCATTGTGCTTCCTACTGTTACCTTTTGCCTTGCTAACCTTTTAGTATCCTATCCTCTTAGTTTACCTTGCTAACCTGAAGAAAAAGTGTTGCATTTTGCGCTTAAGCTGTCGGGGATATTCTTTGGGCTTATTTTTTGGACCCGGATAAAGAGCGCTTGTGCACCTCCCGTGTGCTTGTTGGTGTCCCAAAATCGGAATCGGCCTTGTCCAAGGTTTGGGTGGATAGCCTGGAGTTCCTGACGATGGAAAGACGCTTGGCAAAAAAGTGGCATGGATATATTATGTACTATGTACTATGTACTGTGCAGGACATAAACCAATCCTCGGATGACAAGTAGTCAAGAGTAGCATTCGACCTTATTGCTTTCGAGATTGAACGGAACGAGAGGCCAAGAACACGTACGTCTTGAGACCAATCCCACCGTGGGTAGTGAAAGTTGTCACTTTGCGCATCTTGGCCCCGGGTCTTGGCTCACCAGTGGGCAGGAATTGGAATTCCTCCTTTTCTTGGAATTCTTCTTCCACTTTACAGAAACAAGGTCCTACTAAGATCCCAAGAAACCCAACATTTTGTCTCAGCAAAGTTGGTGTCCGGTGAGCTCTCCCACTTCATTGTTCCACGTGCAGAGGCTAGAAGTGCAGAAAGAATAGCATTGCAGCTCTTGGAGTGGCTCCCCACATGTAATCCAAAATCTACAAGCTGCATGATCCATGTATGTAGGCAGATAGACACAGATACATGATAGATATATAATTTGTTTTATTTTAAGAACTGGTTGGCTAAGAAGGTCGAACATGTATAGTGGTTTCTCTTCCAGCCCAGCCTGCATTATTATATAGAATTTTGGAAGCGGCTAAGGCTTTGTTGGAAGCACCTTTGCAGTTGATCGCCAGCTGCGTGGTGCTACGTACCGAGTACAGCTTCGTGCAGGAGTTTAGCACAGCAGACACCATGCTGCGGGGCCACAGGAAACAGCTTATTTCCTGGTTGCAGCCGCAGAATATAGCGGCAACGCATGAGTCAGTTTAGGTTGTCAGGAGTCTAACTAAAATGCAAATGTTCCATAGTGTGCACCAACCTTTTGGGACTGCATGGTGAAACTGCACTGTGACCGTGACCAGAAAACTACGAATTACATCAAATTACTTATGAAGCAGCTCTCGACCTGCCATGTGCAGCCATGTGGTGGCGAGTCTTTCGTGATGGTTTGTGGTTTCTGAGACTCAGATGTCTCAAAGACTTGCTGCCTTGCCCTGAGAGGTCCCCGAGCCGACCGAGTCAGTGGATAACCTTTGACCTTTTGAGATATTCGTGTCCCACTAAAACCCAACAGATGGAGAAAGGTGATCCTCTTTTTGCAACGAAACTGAGGGGTCAGCCAAGGATCGCCAGAATGGATTTCAAGATTGCTTTCATTAATTTAATTCTTCCAGATTATGCCTATCTCTTCAGTGACCACTCACTACCACTCACCGTCGAAGCTGCTGACCCATGGGTGTGGATGTTTAATAGGAGACCCCCTGGCCATCCCTGGCCCGGTAGACTGGGTACACTGGTCTATGTTCCGAAGCGAAGCCAGGGGTCGGTTTGAACCCCCGGTTTGAACTAGGAGATTGGAACAAGCCCTGCAAGCTCGGCCGCTTGGCGCCCAATGGCGCCATCCAATTTGATCAGGCGCCACCGGATGGTGAAACAGAGTGCTCCAACAGGTGCAAGCTCATAAGAGTTTGTATTTAACTATTCATACTGTATTTAGCTATTCATATAAATATGTTTTGAGGGGGTGGCCATGATATATGTTGACTGTTGACTCTATATTTAATCTATTTTGAGATGTGCAATATGAGGAGTGATTGCTGTAATTGTTTGGAACAGGTGTTTGCAGAAATGTCGCTTTGCTCTTTCGGGATGGTTGACATCCGAAGTTACTTCCAAGATGCCCAAGACCAGTCCTGAGAAGCTTCCAATAGAAGCTTGGAGAAGACTGATTCCATCAGTCAAGATTCATATTGGGCTAAGACGAAGAGCCTGTGAATAAGGATTCCAAGTCAGACCAGATCGGGGAGAGGCCCACGGGTGCCGATCCGGTGAGGCCAAATGGGTGCCGATCCAAACACTACTGGAGGCAGACGCTTGGGCCCAGAGACAGGTGGTCCTGGCTGGGTCATACATCGTTAAAGAACCTGGAAATGGAAGGCACGGCCATTTTTGGAAGTGGTTGAATGAGTTGAAGGAAGGAATAGCGCGTTGGATATACATCGTTTGGCCAGTTCGAGTCTAGAGCTGAATTCCGAGTACGGATCTCCAGGCACGTTTGAATCGGGGAATCCATGTCCTTGCCGGATGGACCGGTCGAACGAAGGGGACGATGGCCATCTCAGGATTTGAACATCACGGTGCAGGACTGCACTCTTCCAGGTGGACAAACAGGGGGCAGGGATACTGTATGAGGCTTCACGACAAACAAACAGTTCTTTTTGTTTCTTGTTTGTCTTGTAGGGAGGCCATTGAGGCCATCAATGGAGGGACTTAGTTGACCTTTGTGTGGAAGCAGGTTCTTACCAGATTGGAGATTCCAGATAGTCTAAGGGATTCCATTCATTGAATGCTTTTGCATATTGGAGCAGTTCTGAATCTCTCGTTCACATCACAAGCAGCTTTTTTAATGCGATCACTACGGCTAATTACTACCGACAGGTTTCGCAGTACAGCCGTCAATTTGCAAATCCCGGAGTCACGAAGTAGAGGCCATTTGGACTACGATATGCAGATCGTTTACACTGCCAAGCTGCATCGGAACTTCATCCTGCAGCAGGTTGCACAGGTGCTTCGTGAACCGGAGGAGAGAGCCATAGAGAGCGCCGGCGCGTGGGAAGAATCTGTGTTGTGTCCCGTTGTGCCGACGGATCGTTATGGTTGGAGGTCTGGGTGTATATGTGGAGGATCCTCCTGTTGGACACATTGCCCAAACAAATTCACGAGACGAAATAGAACTAGTAACAAGAAGCTACTACTGTATACTACTGTAGTAGCAAGAACCTACTAGGTGGAGGCCATCGCTAGTAGGTTGGAGGCCATTACTACTAGTAACAAGGACGCTACTGACAGTTCAGCATGCGTGACCCAAACCAAGCCCACTTGGGATTTGGCCTTTGGGAGTCGCGCGGGGGAGCTCGATGGTCGCACCACCAGGACCTGGCCGTTGTGGACGACTACACATGCCGTTGGCGACCCAGCAGCTCGTGCCGCGTGCGCCCGGATGCCCAGTGTCAGTGAAAGCGATGATGGGCACCCAAAGATGCACTCATAGAAGCTAAAGAGTGTGGGTGTGGTCGGTGGGCGTCGGTGGGTGGGCGGGTGCTTCTTTCCAGGTCAATTTGCGGGGAGGGTGTCCTAGAACAGCAAGGAAACGTGTGAAAGATCTCCAGAACCAGGGCCAGGCGCATCAACAAGAACGTGATTTGTCCCCAGAACGTTGTTTATATTGAGATCATCGCACTGTGCTTGGACCTACAGATTAGAATGAAGAATCCTGTAAGCATATGTCCATTTCATTGTTAGGAATTACTTTATGAAATGGAATTATCTATGACCATTAATTTTGGATAGTAATTCTCTTATCTTTAGCAAAATTAATGGGAATTATGATATTATATAGTTCATTCTTCATAATTATCATATTATGATGTCTTTCATTGGCGAAAATATAAGCACAAGGGAGTTTGAACCAATAAGTCGTGTTTTCGTGTCAGACTAGTGAATTGGCTGTTTATGTTCTCTTCCCCTGCGCGCCCAAGATCGCCCAAGTACGTTTGCTCACTTTGACGCAGATCCATCACCGGGAAACTGCAACCCATAAGAAAGGTATATGTAGACTACATTAGACTACTAAGAATGATCCCCAAGCTATACGGTGTCCATATGGTAAGGCCAGGACAGCCTGTTAAACACAGCAAAAAATGAAATGGACAAGTCAAAGTCAAAAAAGGTCAATTGGATAAAATAAGAATGTAGAGAAAAGTTCGTAAAATAGATTTAAACAATCAAAATTAGAAGACAACTCGAACAAGTCGGAAAAACGTCGAAATAATAGGAAAAAAACATCAAAAAAGGTCAAAATTAGAGAACAAATCGAACAGTACTCGAAAAAGTCAACAAAATCAAATAAAAGTCAAAAAAAGTCGCCAATTGACTTTTGTTGGACTTTCTGGAACTTTATGATTTGACTTTTTGACTTTGACTTTGGCACCGGCTATTGTGCTGACTTTTAGACCTCTTGTTAAATCTTGAAAACAGGCTCTCTTAGGGCGTCTCAATTGATGCCATTGTTGCAAACCCACACATGACTCACCTGACCCTGTCGCATCATGACAGGCTTAGATCCCACTTCAGATTCAGCGCCTGCTGCTGAGCTTCTTTTGCGCTTCTGGCCCCTTGCATTGCATCATCCGGCTGCGAAAGCAGGGGCTTTCATTCTCCTACTTGACTTCCTTTCCAGCGATCAGATCGTCCATGAATCATGCAAATGCATGTTCCCTGTTTCATGCTGGTTCACTTTGCACGACCTTGTTTCGGTTGTGAGCAGCATGTTTGAGAGAGTGCAAGGTTCATCATGGAGTGTTGCCCATAATTGAGGCCCTCATTGACCCTGGCACCCTGAGACACAATTTGGATCAATTTGGGGTTCTGGGCGTTGGGCTGGCAACGGACGGGAAGAATCTTGAGCCATTTTGGTTCAACTCAAATGTATCTATCAACGGCTGTTTAGATGATCTAGATGATTTGACATGGTGCTCAACGGGCCTGACGACTCCAATTTGGACTTGGATCAGCTCATTGAAAAGTTGAAACCTGTTGGGGACGCAGCGCCGGAAATCCTATCAGAAAAGCAACTGAAGCTGGCTTGCCAGCAGCTCAAGAGCTTTCTGATTGAGGAAAGCAATGTGCAGCCAGTGCAGTTGCCAGTGGTGATTTGTGGTGACATCCATGGTCAATACTTTGACATGTTGGAGCTGTTTAACATTGGTGGACAGATTCCAGAGAAGAACTATATATTCATGGGAGATTTTGTTGATCGAGGGTACAATAGCGTGGAAACATTTGAGCTTTTGATGCTTCTGAAGCTTCGCTACCCAGCTGGCATTACTCTCTTGCGTGGGAATCATGAATCCAGACAGATCACACAGGTGTACGGTTTCTACGATGAGTGCTTGCGAAAGTATGGAAATGCCAACGGCTGGAAGTACTGTACCGAGGTCTTCGACTATCTCACCTTAACAGCCATTGTGGAGAATTCGATCTTTTGTGTCCATGGAGGCTTGTCACCCGACGTGAAGGTCTTGGATCAGATCCGCACCATCAATCGAGTCCAGGAGATTCCACACGAAGGCGCTTTTGGAGATTTGGTGTGGTCCGATCCCGAAGACATCGAAAGCTGGGCAGTGAGCCCACGAGGAGCTGGGTGGCTTTTTGGAGAACGCCCCACAGAGCATTTTAATCGCCTCAATGGGCTTGATTTGATAGCCCGAGCGCACCAGCTAGTACAAGAAGGCTACAAATACATGTTTGGTGACCGCCTGCAAGATCAGACTGGATTGCTGGTGACCGTGTGGTCCGCTCCAAATTACTGCTATCGATGTGGAAATGTCGCTTCCATCCTTGACATTGATGAGAGAGGTGAGCGGGAGTTCCGGATATTTCAGGAGGTGCCAGCTTCGGCCGCGGCTGTGCCTCCTCGGCAGTTGGTGCCATACTTCTTGTGATTTGGGATGAGAGAGTAAGGCTAGCTCAAAGGGCCATTTTGCCAACGTGCAGGATTTCCACTCTGTGGGAATTGCAGCCCGGAGTAATTTACAGACACCATGATGCCATAGATGTATGTCATTGCTTGTACAGTATGTGGCCCCAACCACTGGGCCTTCAAAGAACTGACCTGGGTGTGGTCGCTGAGAAAAAAGAAGGAGTGCAGACTCAGACCTTGTCTTTTTGTTGCGCCAACTCGGACTCAAACCGCAGACCTACATGTGTCCAAGCGGTTTTGGGAACTTTGCAAAGTTTGTGTGTGCATGTGTGAGCCCTTGCCAACTATGTGTCCGCGCTACCTTGAAACTCTTCATCTCTTCTTGCTATATTCTGGGCTGGCTTCGTGTGGAGCAACAACCACCCCGAGAACAAACATGAACAAACCTTGAATGAGCCAGGTTATCTCATTGAATTCTAGAATCAGTTGCCACTGTTCTTTTAGGTGTTTTCGATGCGAGTCGGTTTGCAAAACATATCCACCTTGGTGTTTTCAATGCTGAGACTCATGAGGCATTTTGAGGCGAGTCATGACCAGGCAAGGTTTTCCTCGCCTCACCGGTGCGTTTCCAGCGTTTCGAGGCCTGCCTGGGATCCGGTGCGCGTGCCGAAGACGCAGCAGTGGGTCCCAAAGCGGTTGAGCACCACAGCTGTCGGGTGCCCCAATGTGTGCCGCTGGGTGTTTTTTCCAAGTGGCACCGTTGTAACCTTGGACTTTCCGAAGTAGTCGCAGAGATGACAATTGTACGTTTATATCACATATATATATATATATGTGTGTGTGTGTTAGTTGCTCAAGTCATGTCAAGTCTGTGTTGAAGGCCTTTGTGGGGCTTTGCGTTTGTGGGCTGTGGGTTACGGCGGTTCAGGCCGAAGACCCTTGAAAGCGAAGCAAACATCCCCCGATGGACCATGTTCGTGTTCATCTTTGGTATGTTTTGGGACATGGGGCTTTGACCCAAGAGGGCCCAGCCTAGGTTCGCGAGCCAAGTCTTTTGCAAACTCCCGGATGGGTTTATCATGGTAGCAGTATCATGGTGTATCAAAATAATATGTGGTGCAGTTTGTAGGTAGGTTTGACCTGTTCTAAGGAGAAGAGGCCTCATCCTGACCGTAAAGAAGGCTTGTTGATGAAGAAGTCGAAAGGCGGGACAGGAACCATCCTCGGGCTGGACATGTGGGTTCGTTTTTGAGAGACGTACTCATGTGAACTAAGTTGCTCTTCGTGACCGGCAAGTTAAGAGCTTTTTGGCGGATTCAATACGATTCAGCGTCGTTTGGTTCATCAAAACGATTTGCCTTTGTCATCATCCGGTGCTTCGCTTGGTGAGACGGACCTCGTTTGTGAGGCCTTTTGCACCACTGGTCAGAGAAGTGGGTGGTGCTGGAGAACCACGAGCTGCTCAACCATTGCAAGACCACGAATCGAATCAGCCGAATTCACATTGCTCCTACTGAGCTACTGTAAATTCCTGAGAAGATGCTTTGGAACAGCCTGAATGTAAATAGAACGTCATATTCCTCATCATTCACAGCGTCATTCACCTCATTCCAAGCTGAAACAAACATGAACAGCGAAACACATACCGTATTTCCAAGCAGGCTGGGCAGGGAGGGTTGTTTCAGATGCTACTCCGATTTTTTGCGATGCTTGGTGAATAGAGATTATGCCGCTTGCAGCCAAGCAGGACAGGACTCTTCCCCTGTCCGAGTTGTATGTGTGGTTGGTTTCGATTGGGAGAGGTCTGGGACGGTCTGGGTGCAGGTCTCTTGCGCCTGTGAGCCCTGAACTTCGTATATAGAATTCCTAATCTCCAACACTGACCGATCCCCTGGCAGACAGGTCTCCCAAACCCTTTGGCATACTTGAGCACCACCCATCCAATCGAAAGGCCACCTGAAGGTTTCATGTCACCAATTCTCATTGCTTCTGGCAGGTGGGCCATGTGCCTTTTGTGCATTGTTCCCACTCTTCCCCGGCTAGGTTCCACGCTCGCCTCCCAGGTTCAAGTACTGGAGCGACCGGAAGGACTATGAGCAGCAGGAGCCGCCCAAGGTGTGCGTGCACGCATCGGGTCCGTTCGCTGGGGTGAAACGGGGTTGATGGTCCACTTGGCCGTGGTCAAGTCTAATCGCGCCTGAGTCCATTGCTCCAGGTGATTGGAGAGATCCAGTCAGCCGACACCTGGGACAAAGAGCCTCGCTCAAGACATGAGGGCATCAGGTTTGAAGAAGCACTGTAGACCTCCACCCTCAGGTTCTCTCAACATCTCCCGTGATTCCCATGATGTTCCATTTTGCAGTGCCCCTCAAACTTAGTTTCCAGGGGAAGACCTGTGTTGGTGTTGGTGCTGTCCGGTTCTCCGGTCGTCGAGTAGTAAAATGAAGATAGATGTATCGCACATGTCGCAACCTTTGTGTGTTCCTGGTCACTTACAAAAGCACCAGAGCAAGGCAGCACTTGGATTTTTGCATCCAAGGATTTGAGACGGATCAAAGGTGAAGGGCGTAAGCTGGACTACGCGCAAGTGCGCGACAGGCAGGGGCTTTTCGCACATGGGATCAGCATGTGAGCGACACATGGCCGGTGTCCATTTGGAAGCATCCTCGCATGGCGGCATAGCAGAATAGCAGCCAGTGCTGAGTACCATCGAACATACCATCACGCACTAGCTGACGCGTGCAAAATGTCAGCCAAGAACTGCCTGTGGTGGTGCACCGCTTTTCTGGGTCGTTGACGGCTTTGGGAGCTGGAAACTTGTGGGTCGCTGGTGAAATGTTGAGGCAGAGGAATTTGCTGCCGCTGTGGGTCGCAAGAGCCTTGGCTCAAATGTTCGCCATCCACATTGCTTCCACTGGAGGGCATCTCATTTTGGCCTGTGTCGGCACGGCACTGACGTATGGTATGGCGGTTTGTACACCAAGGGCTAGCTGTTGATGCACGAGGATCAATTGTGTGCGCAGTTTGTGCAGGGAACCTCGATGATACACCGATGGGTCGTTCATGTTCATTTTCACTTCAGCATTTGGTAGACCTCCTTCCACTGCAAGTGGACGGCACACTTAACTAACGATAAAACATGTCCTTCACCCGGTGAAGAAGTAGCAAGCTTTAAAATCTATGGAACCGTTGTGAAGAAGAACCACGTTCTGAATGTTTGCGAACGGAGGATTCATGTCGTTTCCGGACCAATCACTGTCCAAGGAACGACGCAGTACCAACCTGAGCAGTTTCCTTTGCAGGTCTTGTGGTCCAAGGCAGGGGTGAGATTTCAGTGTGCCCCGCTCGGAGCACTTTGTGGCAACAAGACGGAAACCAGGACGGGGTATCCAGCCTGTCAGGGCAGAGTATCTGGAGATACTCCATGAGAGCCGTGGCTGCTCGACCCTCCCATCCCTGCAGTGTGTTGGCTTGAAAGGATGCAACTCTGATGTTGATTGTGAGCGGATCTCCAGTTCACGTTTTATGTGGATTTGCATATGATTGCAACATACTTACTGCATACACGCAAACAAAAAGCACGAAATTAAGGATGCCCACTGTGAACTACTAGCTTGGGAAACTGTCTCATTTGTTGGTTCATTTGATCCTTCAGCCAGGCCACATTCAGGGTCAGAGCCTCAGAGCGCGCTTTTTCGGATCCGATTTGCACTGAGTTCACCCCGCCGCAAAGCGCCTGGCATCCCCCACCGGGTCCCCACACAAGCGATAACAACATAGGCTGATGTCGTCTTGGGCGGCTCTGCCAACAGTTTTTGCAAGTGTTTTCACTAGATGTGGTCAATTGATAGACCAAAATTCAGACTGAACCGCCACTGGGTAAAGGAGAATCCGGTAAATCATGGTAAATCCATTTGGCGGCCATGTGTGTTGAGTGCAAGCAGTTTGACTCTGACAGGTGTGCTACCGCTTGGCTGATCCCAAATGCTTGTGCCCCAGATCTTTGGGCTTATGTGATTGATTTAACAAGCTTTAGTTGATTAATTCACTAACCTTAGTGTGCCACCTCACGCCACCTCAGCAGAACCGATTGTAAAAGCTAAGAGGTGCGTGTGATTCAAAATGCTGGACAGACTGGGCGCCATTTAGCAGGTGGATGTAGTTTGTTTGCAACTGAGAGTAGCCAGTTACTAGATGGTTCTTTTGCTTTTGTGCCTTCAGAGCTTTGGCAGCCACGCAATTCAAAGCATTGGAACAGCAAAACATGCAAACAAAGCTTTGAAGTTCTCAAAAGATGTGTCCAAGCTTTGAGGCCCCCGGTTTTCCTGAGGCAAGTCCCGCTTCGCTGCCGGGAGTGAACCCGAGGCGCTGGCGCTGGAAAGCACGACGGCACGACACTCCAACCACCTCCCAATCAGTGCAGCTATTGATGTTCATTGATTTTCTTATTGATTTTCTTATTTTCTCGTTATGTTTCAAGTTGACGATGACATTTATGAACATCTGGAAATCCGGTCAGGGGAATATATACGTAATACGTTTAATAGTCCAAATGAAGCAAAGGGTGTTTTTTCCTGTTATCTCATTTCAGGGTGGAGGCTCCATTTGCGTTAGCCCACGCCATTTCGCACAGAGGGTGGCAAGCGCACAAGAGGAATGGCGATCATGTGCAAAACCCATCAGGGCTCAGCTATCACACTGGGACCTTCAGTATGGATGGCTTGGGAGGGGCAGAGGCGATCAGTCCGCCGCTCAGTCCTATTTCATCCAGCTGAACCAGGATGGAGAGGTCGAGGCTCGGCCACGCGTGAAATCCCGGATATCCCGGATGAATATTTATCACACCATCAGCCTTTTTGTGGCCAAGCACGTTTGGCTTGGGGCGTGTTTCATTCAGAAGTTGCCATGGCACACTGATATCACCAACACGGTTGCAATTTCATCTATATACAGAGTTATATGTGTACATACATAGGCTTTACTAAAGGAAGGTCATCCAGACCCCCTAGCACAAGGAAGACAAGACTTGTTTTTTATTCGGGCCACATTGATGAAGACCACCACTCCTAGTTTCTGTTCTGGGGAGCTTTCTTGTTGCGCCAAATCCATGAGGCTCCAAAGACCCGCCGATTGGCCAGAATGTTTCGCCCTTTTAAAGGGTCATATGAGACGTTGCAGAACCTGCCCCACAGTGTGGTATGCCGGCCCAAAAAAGCCAGGACACCACATTCCAAGAGAAAAGAAAACCATAAAAATGGTCAAGCCGAGGCAAAATTAATCAATGCACAGCGGCGTAGCGGCGTAGAGCTCAAGAAGATAGATAAATCAAATCATTAACCTCCGTATGATAGTCCTTGCTTCTTCGTCAACACTACCACCCTGCCCTGCAAAGCCCCCCAAAGGACCTTCAAGCAAATCTCATGAGTCCCAACCCCCCGCACCGCCTGCCCTGCACACAGGCACAGTGGCAGCCTGCTGACAGAGAACAGGAGCCTGTGAAGTCGTGGCTGCAAGCTGCACCTTGGTGAGCAAGATGTCAGGATAAATGTCATGTAATAGCAGGTCGTGAGGGTCAAAATGGGCCCGCTAACACCTTCAGCACAGGTTGTGTGGAGGGCACGCTTCCAGCTGGCTGTGGGCTGTGGATGAAAAAGCTCCGTAGTATACTTTAGCTAACTTTAGTTGAACATGTTGCAAGTCTTTGAATATTTTTGGAGGGCTAGATTTAGATTCACTCCAGCTCATCGACTGTCCACCACTCATGAAGGCAATTGGACATTTCTATCGCCAGTCCACCATCCCATTGAGGCCACTTCCTACTCTCAGGTTCTCGGACTTCTCAGGTTCTCGGACTGCAGATGGTTGGCGATGGATTGGCCCATCACAGCCCGACCGAACCGTCCAAGGAAAGAAGGTGCTCATGAGCACGCAACGAACAGTTCTGCGCGACCGCCCAGGTGCTTCGACATTCAATCCTCGACTGAGATGCTGCCGTTGGCAATTGGCAACCAGCAGAGCGGTCTGCGGTGCATTGCGGCTCGCCCAACGTGAGGGATCAAAATGGGAGGTCTTTTGAATTCTTTTGATGCGAGCTGCAGCCATGAATAAGCATTAGAATACTTTAGAATCAGCTGGGGCTTCATTAGGAATATGGAATACGCGTGATGGTGAGCTGGATGGAAATCTCTGACTCTGAGAGGTGCCACTCAAATCCAGTTTTGTTCTCATTCCTTCTTTCTCCTTGGAGAAGTCTCAGTAGGCCTTGTCCCTGGCCAAGATTGCTAGGTTTGTTAATGCCAAAACTCAGACGAGTCTTGCGGCGGCACTTGCGGCTGTTTGTGAGGAGTTATATAGGTGGGGCGGCACGGGAGCTTCGGCACACACCTCCACTTACACGCCCAACTGACGATGGTGTGCCACATGTGACAGATGGTCCACTAGCAACGTAGGATTGGATTGCTTTGGAATGGACTTGGGGGCACTCACCAAACCTCCGTGTATATGCTTGCTCATCCAAAATCCCACGCATTATCCAGACCATCCCTTGCTGTGTACATATACGAATATATACTCATATTTTTCTACTATGGCCCATGGTGGACAAGCAGGTAGAATTTGTTGCTTCTTTTGACATGCAGTTGGATTTTTTCTGGCTGACTACGTTGAAAAGGAAGAAGCGGGGGAAGGCCCGCCAACCACACGCAAGTTAGAGTATATGGATGCATGAACGTATGCATGAAATGGACAATGTATGGAAAACTCGTCAACGGGAACTTGCGATCACGTCCAACAAGATGGTGATCCCGTCTCTTGCTCATCCCCGTCGATGCATGGTGTGCTCCTCCAACGAAACATGCAGACGGCGTTTCCAGCACCACGCTTGTGGTGCGAAGCTTCGCTGTTGCCTGACAGTTGACGACTGTGCCTCGGATTCTGAAGTGCTCATGGATATTTGCTAAGGGTTGTCCCCAGGGATGTTGGAAGGTTTGGGACATTGATTCAAATCAGAAATCAGTCCTGATGTAGGCTGAGGTTATGTGTGGAATGGTGGTTTCCAAACGGTTTCGCAGCTTTGGCCCAGGTTTGGGCACCCTTTCCGAAAGACATGCATGGGATGATATGGCAAGTGCACCCTGTGTGACTTACTGTTGGGAAGAGTTTCACTGAGTGCAGTGCCTCTACCACGACCCGCTGCAAGTGCCGCTCTGATTAATGTCCAAAGCCCACTTGGGGCTCCGACAGCCGGAGAAGCACAGCCGGAGAAAAGAGGGGCAGATCCGAGTGGATGAAATGGCAATGGACTTTGGGTTACTTCGACCGTGTGTCGAAGGATTAGGGTTCAGGGAAAAAGGGATGAAAAGGGAAGAGGGATTTGTACCTTTGCTCCTGGTGGGGTAGAATGGTCATATTTGCTTAATAGTGGCTCATCGTGAAGAGACTTGTCCATACACTGTGAAAACCTTATAAAACCTTCCCAGGTGTTGGCTGCGGAAGGAGGAGCTAGAGTGTGTGACACTGACGTTTTGAGGATGCGCCCCATCAATTAGCGTGATGTTGCAGCCCTTCAGCTGACCAGTGAAATTGGACTTGGCCAGCAGGCAGACTCGGGATGATAACCCATGATCCATACGGGAGGATCGAGACATGCATGGGTAGATCATGGTAGAAGTGCAAATCTGCCGATTTTCCATCAGCTGTGGTTTGATATGTTTTTCTTGCTTTTTGTCGTGGTGCTCACCTCGCTCACACTCATGGCTCCAGATATGTGAGCTACAGATTCACGTGGGCCTCAAGAAGTACTACCGCAACCACCTGTAACCCATGTGACAGCAAGACCAGCTGAGCCATCCGTCGCGGGCGGCATCCGGAATCGCTTCGGTTCTATGGCCTGACGCTATGTCCCATGAACCGGAGGAAGAGGAGGAGGAGAAGTCTCCTGAAGAGGTTCAACTTGAGGTGTGCCTACCCACAATTTCATGGACACGAAAAGGGGCAGTGCAGGGGCTTCGTAAAGGTCTGTGGGTACGTTTGCAGGTTTGCGGGAGTGGAGAAGTGACGTTTCCAGGTCCGAGATTGTCGCCAACACAAGAGGCTATTGCTATTAGGTTGGAGGCCATCGCTATTAGGGTTGGAGGCCATCGCTACTAGTAACAAGAAGCCATTAGTAACAAAAAGGTATCGCTACTAGGAGCAAGGACGCTAGTAGGGGCTCCTGGCCTTATTACTAGTAACAAAAAGCTACTAGTGCTCCTACTCCTTGCCAAGTCCCAGGCAGAGATCCGAGCCATTGAGCTGGACATCTCTTTGATGGATCTCCGGCGAGAGCTGGAGGAGCGGAGGAGCATGTAGCATGGGTGGGGTTGCATGTAGTTTTGGTGGCCATTTTGCAGTGTTTTATCAGGTTCTCTACTGTATCAGTTTTTGGATTTAACATGATTCAACCTGCGTCAGCAGGAGTTGCGCGCCTATTTTCTACGGCTTAAAAGGGTCTGCGGTTGCATGGACAGTAACGTGTCTTCATGCCTTCAACCTGTACTTTCCTTGTGACAAAAAGTGAGTGCGTACATGTTTACACGTTCCTGCACTCCCCCTTGAGGCTTTGCCTCAACATTTCAGGACCTCTTGGTCAAAATGTAAGCTCAAGACCCTTCTACTCAGAGGTCGTAGCCGTCCCAGACCTCGACTCTCTCGTCACTTGCATAGTCCGACCCGATGCGAATCTCTCGCGGGCCAAGTCGGAGCTCATCCCACTTGTTGGGTCATCGATGTTTCAGCTGGATGCTCGTCAGCTTCCGCCTCCGCAAATGCCTGCAAGGCATTCGTTGCCATCTGTCCTGGTCCTCCAAAAATGCCAGCAGTGAATGTCTGCCCACCTGCCGCGGCTCTTCCCCGATCTGCTGCTCCTCCCTTTGCATAGCCCTTCCCACTTAGGCTCCCATCCTGAGCCAGTGTGGGATCAGGTGTGGAGAAGTCTGTTGTCACCGTTGGCAAAGTGGATGAGATTGTTCCACTGCCCGCATCTTCACCAGCGGCGGGAACAGCCACATAGCACGGCGTACCATTTTCTGTGGTACTAAGGACAAGCGAGAGATCAAGGCGAGGCATGTCAGGTGTTGGCCAACGCTCAAGTTCAATGGCCTGTCTCATCAGGTCGTTGCGATGGTAAAGCCGTCCTCCCACCTGCACCCAATACACAGGATCAGTCCCAGGGTCCCAGGGGGGTTGTCCCACAGTTCTTCTCTGAGTCAGTCAAGGCTTCTAGTGCTTGCAGCAAGCCATCAGGGGCGTCTGCCCATCGCTCTGCTGGCGGCATAGAAGGAGGCGGTTTGGAGATCGCCTTCGTGTCCTCAACCCAGGATCCAGCGCGCTTGAAGCTCGCGCCGTTGATCCAATGGATGCCCAAGACGCAGCAGATCTTGAAGGGGCTGCCGTCGAACTTGTCGCACCCGACCTTCCACAGCCAGTATTCCTCTCCTCCTGTGCCTTCTGCGCTCGTTGGAGTCACCACTGCTGGAGTTGTGGCAAACTCATGCCCATGCCCTGAAGAGGCCGCTCGCGTCATCCGATGCGCTCTCACTTGGGCTGCCTCAGTACCTCTCATATGAAGGGGTATGCGCAGATGAGGTGGGAGTGTTTCAGTTCTTCTCACCCACTCTCCAACTGGTCGCTCATTCATATAGTAGCTCACCACCTCAGCAGCGATGTACTTGATGGTGACTCGGCGGCCCATCAGGACCTGTTCATCCCGAAGAGGGTAAGAACTGTGTATGGGGTGGCATCTTTGATACCGCAACTTGCAGTGAACCCTCACCACAAAGTTCTCCACAATCATCCACCTGTCAGTCGACCCAACAGGCGGTTGGTGAAAGGGCGGATGCGAGTTTGGCGGCCGTGCACGAGGCCTTTCAGCCCTCATCATCTTGACCATGGCACGCGGTCGGCAGCTGCCTGACGCAGCATCACGGGAGCTGTCAGGGCTACTGTGGAGAGGGTGGATCCGCGCAGGAGGTTCATTTCGGGCCCTTCCTGATCTTTTCCTTTCTTCATGCACTGTGGGTTCATTCTGGGCCCTCACAGTGGATTCAGTGCCCTTTGGAGGCACTCCCCCTAAAAAGAGTTCAATCTTCCTTCTCCCATCTTTTTCCAACCCTTCTTAACAGGGTTGTTCCCAAGATCATCAAACACGCTGCAGCCACACCCAGTGCTGCTGTCAGCTTCACTGGACGAACGAAATCAATGCTGCAACAATCACAGCTAATGCCGCTCTCAGGATGAGGCCATCATCTTCGTCTCGACTCTCATGGACCTGCAGCGTCTAACCATCTTGGTCTTCAGCGAGCCCATTCTTGCTTGCAGAACGTCTCAAAAACAGTGCCTTGAAGCACTTTGGTCAAGCCGTCCGCAGGGAGCTCAGAACCTTTGACATGATGTACAGCCCAGCCACCTGAGGTACACGCAACTGCTGACCTCAGCCCTGCAGCACGCAGGCGTAGATGTCTTGTTCTCCATGCTCCAACATCTCCCACGCACAAACTCAGTGCGCTGCGGTTGTCACCATAGATGCACCTTTGCACATCCGACCTCGTACGTCGTAAGGCACTCAAGCAGTGCTGCAACACCCTGTGCCTGCTGGTGGCATTCCATGTAACTCAGCAGCTCAGCCTCCGCCGTGGATCCAGTGACAAACGGCTGTCTCGATGACGACCAAAGCACCGCACATCCAGCCACCACGATTACGGTTCCCTGCGCTGACTTGAACTGCTCACCGACGGGTGCGAAGGAGGCATCTGAGTAGGCATCCACATGCTTCAGGCTCTTTGGGTATTTGAGCTCACCCATGTCCCCGAAGGAAGCTTCACTATCACACTTTTCATAGTAGTATAGACCCCAATCAGCTGTCGCCTTCAGGTAGCCGAGGAGCGCCCTTGCTTGGAGTGCAACTTCAGCAGGTTTACGGTGCATCTGTCTGCTGAGTACGCCAGTCACATGAGTGATGTCGGGTCTTGTACGGCCTCAAAGCCACTGCAGCTCACCGACAAGGCCCTGAGCTTCTCGGAGGGTTGGGATATCAAACTGTTCATCTTCCTCCTTTCCAATCGGCTGCATCCAAAGTTCCTTCTCAGCTAGGACCTGCCTGTTCCCAACCAAATAGGT